ATCAACCCAAGAAGATCTTGTCCAAGACACATTATAGCCAGATTGAGCAAAACCACAGACAAAGACAAGATACTAAGGTTGACAAGAGAGAAACGTCAAATTACCTACAAAGGATATCCCATCAGGCTGACAGAGGACCTCTCACCCGAAACAACGTGAGTGAAGAAAGAATGGGAAAATATATACAAAGTGTTAAGGGAAAAGCAATTGCAACCAAGAATACTGTACCCGGTAAGATTATCTTTCATATGGGAAAAAAAAAAAAGACAATAACATTCTCAGGTAAACAAAACCTGGAAGATTTTATCAACACCAGCCTAGCTCTCCAAGAAGTTCTCCAGGGAGTGCTATACCAGGAAACTTAAATACAGTCACACAGAAATAAGAGTTCAAAAGCTAAGAAAATGGCCTACTTAATCATGGGAACAAGTCTGGAGTTGAATATTATATCCCAGAATTTAATTGGGAAAATCTAAACACAACAGAAGATAAAGTACATGAGACTGAACTGATGAAATAGAATTTTATGACTTTTGACTAAAACATTGCTGATTTTCTTCTAGACTTTGTTTTCTGGTTTTAAGGATTTTTGTCTTGTCTTGAGCTGCTGATAGGTTCATGTATCTACTATCTGAACAAAATCCCAACCTGTTTCCGGACTTTAAGTTTTAAGCATATTTCCTCAGCATTTCTTTGATTTATTAAAGTTAAATCTGTCTTTCTTGAAATTAAAAATATAGTAAAAATACATAATTAATGACTGTAGTAAACTATATAGCATCAGCTAGGTGCTACCTTATAGTATATTCATTCTACTCAGAGTTTCATGCCTAAAATCAGACAGGTCTAAAATCAGACAGGTATTCATCGATATGTATATATTAGCAGAGCTTGCTAATTTTTTTTTTTTGGAGCGGTTTTTTGTTTTGTTTTGAATGAGAAATCACATTTTGTATGCTGTGACAATGCTCAGTGAATGAATATAAATTAATTAATTAAAAATTTTTTAATTAAAAAATTAAAATTAAACTTAAAAAAAGAAATAAGCCAGGAACTGAACAAGAAATACCATACAATCTCACTCATTAATAGTAATTATAATATGCGATGACAGAGAAATAGAGAATTAAGTGACAGGTACCAGAAATCGAGAGGTGAGGGGTATAAGAAAAACATGTTTGACAGATACAAGTGTGCAAGTGGATAAGGGGAATGAATTCTAGGGTACTAAAGCACATCAGAGGAACTATAGATAGTGAAAATCCTATGTACATTTCAAAATAGCTAAAAGAGAGGACTTTTATAAAACTGCCAGAGTGTGTATGCACTCACCAGAGAGAGTCAGAGACAGAGAGAGGGAGAAAGCACCCCCCTCTCAGTGGAGTGTGATCATACTGCAATCCCTTTTCCTCTATTTCTTTAGCCTGTCTGGATTTGGGGCGTGCACACACACACTTTCTCAGTGTGCTTTTCAAACCAGTGGGCCCAGGATTTGAACTCCATTTGGATATGTAAGTTGTGGCTCCCATAACCACTAGACTATGGGACCAGCACTAGAAGACAGGATTTTGAATGTTCACAGCAGCAAGTAGTGATAAATGTTCAACATGATGGGTTTTCACACATACTTGGTCATTATACATTTAATTCATGTATTTAAAAACCATGCTGGGACCAGCAGTTAGCGTAATGGCTATGTCACTGGACTCCCATGTAGTCGACCACAGTTTGTGTCCCAGACCTGGTGGCTTAAAACTCATGCCGGGTGCATGTGCGTGCATGCCCAAGATCCCAAGAGGAGAATGGAGGAGAAGGGATTGCGGCGTGGCCATGCCCTCCGGGGGGTGATTTCTCACTTTCTGTCCCTATGTCTCTCTGTCTGTCTCGCGAGCATATGCGCCTTATAGCAAAAACCTCTCAAAAAAAATAAAGAAAGAAAAGAAAAGAAAAAAACATGCTGTACTTTATAACTATGTGTAGTTATTATACTCGTATCTGTTGCATAACTATTTTATGTGTATATGTTCCACATACAGTAAAATGTGGAAACTTCTACAAAAAAATAATTAACTAGAAGAATGCAAGTAATTTAAAAAATTCAGGTAAACA